ATAGTTGGTCCTTGATAAATAAGTATTGATTGACATCTAGATGGAAAATGGTAGAGAAGACAAGAACTCCCAAAAGACCAGTGCTTTTGATGCTGTAGAGAGTTTGGAATCCAACTACAAGAGAAACCTTCCTGGTTCTGTGGCTGCTGGACAGAGAGAAGAAGAAACTGAGAAAAAGAAAAGCATTGTGTTGGCCCTAGGGGCCCCGGGATCCAGAAGGAAGAGGTTTCTGTTTAAGATTGGATCAATCCCCAGGGCATAGGTTTATTCAAAATGAAATGAAATGAGGTTTGGCAAATGTATAGCAACAAAACAGAATATGTATTATTCTAATTTAAACATTCACACTGTGAGTCAGATAACAAACCATGGGAATTATCATGCTGGCAAATAGAGAAGCAGATAGTTTGAGATGCGTCCTTTTGATTCATTCTGAAATAGATCAGACAGTAACAGGCCCAGGGAAGTGAATGGTATTTTATGGAGGTGGTGCTGTGTAATGAGAATTGATTTGGTTCCCCCTGCCCTCTTTTGCTTCAGTTCTGAGGAAGCTGATAAGGCAGCCATGGACTGGGCTGTTATAATGGAGCAAGTTCTGGGGGCTATTCAGAAATCTTGAAAGCAGAAAATCCCCAAGAAGGAACAGACTGTCTAGTGAATCTGACAGAACCCTCAGAGTAATTATTGTTCTCAGATGCTTATCACTACAGTCAGGAGAAATCTTTTCCCTGGGCAAATTCACACCATTTCTATGAAGAGGCTAAATAATGATTTCTCCATGACCCATATCAGGGCCAATGTCACCATCCAATTTCCCCATTACATTAAGATAATGAATTCTCATGCCTGTGGTTGCCTGTGGTTCTCAAGACAAGGTCCTAGAATATCTACAAGGCAGAGTTCATTTTGCAAAGAAAAATTGAATGCTGATCTTGATTCCACAAAGAAGACATATAACCCCAAATGTTGTCAGTTCTCAGACCTTTACATACAGAATTCTAGAACTGAGAAGTCCCTGGAGGCAGGGGGGTGGAGTGAGCAGCTACAGAATCAGAGAGCCTGGGTTCAAATTCTGCCTCTGAGGCAGAGGGACTATGTGACCTTGGACTAGGTGAACCTTGCTGGACCTTAGTGTCCTCATGCATAAAACAAGAATATTGGACTAGATGTTGGACTCTGAAATCCAGTCCAGTTCAAGGTCTGTGATCTTAGAATTGATGAGTTTGGAATTTGTCTACTATGTGGTTGCATTCAAGAAAGACTAGCACCTCTGGTGTGATGGCTTGCTGAGTCCTTTTCAAGGCTGCTCATTCACCTTTGATGTCCACCTTTCGCCCAACTCTCACCCATGGCTCCAAGAAGCTGGAGCATGAGCAGTGGCCACACCCCATCGAGGCAGATGGGTTAAACCAGGTTGATGGTAGTCAACAGGACTCAAACCCATTGGTGAATAAGAGGGATGTCTATTCCAAGTATGTAAAGACTTCCCTGGCAGAATGGGAGGGTGAGAACAATTTGTTCCAGTGGCCATGAAGGTGACTGAAGCAGACATTGTGGAACACTTAGAGCTTGGTTAAACATTGAAGATGCCATTTGCCATTTGTCCTGACTTTTGTTTTGACACTGGACTTTGATGACTCTGGAAGACAGAGTGAGGCTGAAGACTTGGTACAACTCTGCCTCACTTAAATCCAATTCACTGGCGAGTCAAGACATCACCCCACAATGTCATTGGTCCTCCTTGAAAATGAAGGACAAACAAGTTCAACCCAGGACGCCTGAACCCCTAAACTGCATCAGTAGCGATGAGGTTGAGAGGTCTAGAGGTTGAGGAGTGCCGGGACCCCAAGATCACGATACACAGGGCCTGCCCGAAAGAATTCGACCCAAGCCTTCCTTCAGCCAAAGACAAGGTTACTAGAGTGGTTTGTCATTTCCTTCTCCAGCTCATTTTAGGGATGAGGAAACTGAGGCAAAACAAAGTTAAGTGATTTGCCCAGGGTCACACTCTGAGGCCAGATTTGAACTCATGAAGATGAGTCTTTCTGACCTTATGCCTGGCATTCTATCCACTGTGCCACCAGCTACCCCTAATGATATAAATTAAGTTCTAAAATGCATAGTCCAGTAAATAATATTGACAAAGGTAATATGAGAGTTCTAAAGATTGACTTCAGATACAAGAATGGTTAATGCTACAAGTGAGAGCAAAAGCCTCCACCTTCGTTGAAGAAGGAGGAAAAGGAAATGTCTCAAACTGCAACACAAAAGATTTAGGTTACCTCTAAAGAAGAATTTACTGAGTGGACTGGGGTTACCTGGAAAATTATGAAATTGAGTGGCCTTTACACTTTACCTGGAAAATTATGAAACTGAGTGGCCTTTAGATTTGTGTATAGCCCCAGTTTCTCAGGTAAAATTTAGGAGAGTTCTTCCTAGAAGTAAAGGACTAAATGAGCTGATGTCTTAGATACCCTCCAATGCTAGTAGGCTGAAATGCTGCTAGGGTTGGTGGAGGAGGGTGGGGAGGGGGATGATGAGAATACTAGACTTGGAGGTATAAGACCTAGGTGTGATGAGTCCTTCTTCCCACAATTGCTACCCTATATTACTATCTTTCATTCCTCTCCTTACTCCATTCCTGACTCTCTAGACATTGCCAATGATGGGGTATGGGCCCAAGCCAAGACCTTTGCCCCTTACCCCAAAAGAAATTTGGTCCCACTTGTCTAAGGGATTCTCCCTGAATTCTCCCACTTGATCAAGGAGGTCTCTGGCATTCCCCTGAGGCCATAATTCCATCAATTGGCCTTTCATTGTGGCTACACCCAATCTCCCAATTCTCTGTTACCCTTGACTTAGCCTAGCCCTCCATTGTCTTACCCCCCTATGGTACCAGGCCACTTCCCACCCTTAATCCCATCTAGGCTCCATTCTCCCTTGGCCATTTGGTCCAGGTCCCTGGAGTTCTATTACTCATAGACTACTTAAGGTCCATCTTGTCTCCATTAAGATGCTCTGATTCTTATAATCTAGCCACTGCTCAGACTTTTACAATCTAGTCAAAAGTTCACAGGTGCTCAGATTCTTTAAGAGTCTGGCTAATACGGCGGGTCTTTAATTTGAAGACCAAACAGAGGAGTTTGTTTTTGATTTCAGAGACAATAGGGAGCCACTAAAGGTTTTAGAGCTGGAGAGTGACATGGTTAGACCTATGTTTTAGGAATATCAATTAGGAAGTTGTGTAGAAAATTGGCTCCATGCATTCCAGAGGTTGAACGCAAGGAGACAATTTAGGGGGCTCTGGCAATGGACTGAGAAAAAGGTGTGAAGTTTGAACTATACATAGGTTGGTTTGGCGTGGCTGAACAAGAGTAGTGGCCCTGTAAGTGGCAGGATGACGGAAGCATAGATATGCAAGAAATGTAGGGGTAGAACTGGCAGGGTTTAGTCACTGGTTGGATATAGAGGATAAGTAAAAGTAAAGAATCAAGGATGACTCAAATTCCCAACCTGGGTTACTTGAATAGAGAATTTATTAAGCACTTACTGTGTACAAAGCTCTGTGCTAAAGCACTTGGAACACAAAAAGTAAGACATCTCCTGCCCTCAGGGAGCTTATATTCTAATGGATGAAAACAATGCACATTGAAGGTTTCAGCTGCAAATCTGATGGAAAGGTCTCAAAGTCCAAAGGATGTAGTAACAAAGTAGATAGTAATACCCCTTCTTTGATGTCATTTCCAGTGATAGAATCATAGCATTGATGGAAAGAACAGTAGTGCCCTCAACAAAACAGAGAAGTCCCGTAATTCAAAGTGGATCCTTTGATTTCTTCGTAAGAAGCTCCTGTTAGCAATAATTGAATTTTGCCTTCCTCCAAAACTATTTATATAATGTTAGCTGGATATAAGATTGCAAACTTTTGGGGAGCAAGCTCTCTCATCATTTTGCCTTTGTAATCTCAACCGTAATCTTGTACAGTAAACATAGTGAGTACTTAATAAATATTTGCTGAATTAAGCTTAATTGAATTGAATTCTATGAAGTATAAATGATCAACATAGGGGAATGTCCCTGTCTTCTCTCATCAGGACTAATTTGAAAGGTTTAATCTGTTTCTGAAAATCCCCAATGCATCAAAATGGGAGCAATAGTTCCTCTCAAAAACAAGTTTGCAAATAAGGAATTTAAATTGGTTGTTGGGTTTTATTTTTGTTTTTTGCCATCTTGATATTTTGCTAGGTGTGGCTTTGACCTTCAGGACTTCAAGGCAAAGGGAGATACAATGAGGGACCATTTCTTAGGAAATGGGCTCAATTTGAAATGAAATTACAGCTCCTACAAACCAGCAGTAGCCTACACACAAACCTGAAGCACTACACATATTTAACAGAGCCCTTAAAGGTTATGAGTCATTGCTTCACATCATTTGGATTCAATCCCTCTAAATGAGCACCCACTTGGGACTGAGAGGGCCAAAGATGAACACCTTCAGGGCACAATCCACAAACAACGAAGAGAAAGAAAATTGCGGGGGAGAAAAGAACAATTGGAAACCAGACAAAGGCAAAAATTTCTACCTCCTTCCTGTATCTTGTTTTCTTTCTCCTTTGTACCATCCTCATTAATACTAAAATACACACACACACACACACTTCTCCCTCCAGTCCCTAGGCTCACAATACACACATACACACACGTGCACACACACTCACGCGCGCGCACACACACACACACACACACACACACACACACTCCTCCCTCCAATCCCTAGGCTCCTCAATCTACTTTTGAGAAATTGCTCTCAAGCCAATCTTTGAAAACATTCTGTCTAAAGTATAAAGGATTGATAACAACTTAAGCTACTGCTCCAGAAGGGAGATTTACATTTTAACAAACATTTCCAAGCCTCAAACTAAGAAGCTCAGAGAATACAGTAGGGAGTCTTTAAGGAAATGGTCCTCCCTTTTTTCTTTCTTTTTTTTTTGCAGGGTCGGGGGGAAGAGGAAATTATTTTCCCAGTGCCTCTGAAATCCTGGATTTCCACTGACTGCCCCCTATGCCTGGAACTCTCCCTCCTGTCAAGGCCTGAAATAAATCAAACCCATGAGTTGAGGAATAAAGCATCTTTAATTGAGATAACAGGATAGCAAATCTGCCATCCTGGGAGATGTCCAGTGGATTTTCCCAATCAAAGAGATCCATGAAAAAGTTTTTATAATTTCAGGAGGAGAGGGAGAGGAGATGGTATAAGGAAGTAAGGCCTCGTCATGAGACCCCAGTGGCCCTTAGCAACTGAGGTAAGGAAAGCTACTTCATTCTGGCTGTTTTGCCCATCATGCCATGAATCCCAAAGAAAGGTGGCAAGGACGCTAGAAGCTAAGATCTAGCTTGAGCTGGGCTCTCCGACATGGCAAAATCCCTGGTGGGACCAGCTCAGCCTAATTAGGAATTATTGTGGATATTCCCCCCTTGAGGAAAATTGGTAGGGAAAAGACTAATTTCAGAGGAATAGTCATTTTGCCATCAGTTGCTGGAATGTAATTGTATCTTGAATGGTTAAATCAGAAGTCAAAGTAAGTGCCAGATTTTAAGAAGAAAAGAAAAGGAAAAAGAAAAGGGAAAAGAATAGCATGAGCTCCAAACAAAAGGGTTTAAAGACCTGAACAACTCTCAAAAGTAAAGCCATAGTGACTCTGGCTACCACCAAAGCAGTCACTCTGGGAATTCCAAAAGAGCCTAGAAATTGCTTTAACCAGGAAAGAAGTCACTTCTTTGCCAACCAGACACATGTTGCACTGTAGCATTGTGTCGCAATGCAAATAAAGTCTGTCAAGAACTTGGCAGGAAATCTAGCGAAACAGTATCTTCTTGTGAACACCTGTAAGACAAGCCAGGAGGACAGCAAACATAAGAAAAAGAACAGATCTGCTCAGGCTTTATAATAACCAAATTATCAGCTGCAATTATGAAACACTTAGACTCACATGGGTATACCCTCTTGATAAAAGCTGTTACTCCCTTCGTTGACTTTTAGAAGGTGTTACCTTTGGCATATGGTCAGGTCTAGTCACTTTACCTGAATTCACTTTTAAAAGTACTGCTGGTATTTATATGAGGAAATCTGTTTTTTTTTGTGTTGTTTTTGTTTTTTTTTTTTTTAGGCAATCGGGGTTAAGTGACTTGCCCAGGGTCACACAGCTAGTAAGTGTCAAGTGTTTGGTCTGAGGCTGGATTTGAACTCAGGTCCTCCTGAATTCAGGGCCGGTGCTCTATCTACTGCGCCACCTAGTTGCCCCCTATATGAGGAAATCTGGGAAGAAAGGGGAAATGCATGATTTGGGTGAAGATAATGGAGGGAGAAACACAAGGCATTTTTGTCTTCAGGTTATACTATATACTACTAAGTTGGAAAGAGGAAAGTGATGAGGAATTTGAGAAAGATATCACAAACCTAATACAGAGGCATAAACACAGAGTAGTGATCAGAGACTTCAATTGTCCAATTGTTCATTTGTTCAACACGCTAGAGGTCTCTCGGCTCTTGCCTGGCATTGATAATAATTCTATCTCCCCCAAAGTGCAAAAATTAAGATAAAGGGACGTTCTGTGCTGGATCTGATTCTCACCAAAGGAACTGGTTTCTGGAGTGGAAATGATTGAAACATTGCAAAGAAGTGGCCACCACCTCTTAGAATTTATGATAGAGGAGGAAGGGAAGTTGAACATCATCTCACATGCACCCTGAATTTTAGGAATGCATGCTTCAAAGGGTTCAAAGAAAGAATCAATAGAATTCAATGGACTAAATCAGATAGAAAAAGCCAGCCCTCTCCACCTCAAGAAATGAAAAACCTTTAAGAATGAAATTCTGAAGACATAAAAGGAAACCAATCCAATAAGGAATACAAATAGAAGTTTGAAAGTACCCATGTGGATGCACAAGGAAAGATATATACATATCTATCTATCTATCTATCTATCTATCTATCTATCTATCTATCTAT